GGGCTGACCTATAGGGCTTCATAGCGAGTCCTGTTGGTCTACGGGCTGACCTATAGGGCTTCATAGCGAGTCCTGTTGGTCTACGGGCTGACCTCTAGGGCTTCATAGCGAGTCCTGTTGGTCTACGGGCTGACCTCTAGGGCTCATAGCGACTCCTGTTGCTGTACGGGATGACCTCTAGGGCTCATCGTGAGTCCTGTTGGTCTACGGGCTGACCTCTAGGGCTCATAGCCAGTCCTGTTCGTCTCCGGGCTGACCTCTAGGGTTCATAGCGAGTTCTGTTGGTCTACGGGCTGACCTCTATGGTTCATAGCGAGTCCTGTTAGTCTACGGGCTGACCTCTGGGTTTGTTTGTTTCATTCTTTTTCAAGTGTTGCCATAGAAAAACACTGACTATCCTTGCCCCTGTGGTAAATCTGGTCTAAAACCAGCCTCCAAACCTAATTCATTTATATAAATATTTTGGTAACACTCTGTAAAATATAAGAATCTTCACATAACTTTTATACTTATAGTTGTCTAAGGACACATTTTGAATATTAAATCAGGTGTTATGATCTGTTACTCAGAGGTTTACCAAATACTTTTTACACTTGCTTAATTAAACATATTTAAAGTCTACTACTCTGATTGGAGTACAGTTTTGGGGTTCTCTAACCGATCTATATGCATGAACGGTTGCTCTATGGATAACTTTTTAAAGACAACAAACACTGCCATAAAACGATGTCCATCACTGCAGTGCACGTCCCACCCCATGAGAGTAGGATGACGCGCCGTTGTACTCTACCGTCCTCTGTTTAAACACGTGGCTCAATATGTTTGTTAACTTTTCCATGTCCAGGTAAAAATGACCAGTTAAATTAATAATGAAGTGTTTATACATAAAGACATCAAAGAAAATACATTTCCCAGAAAAACACCAACAACATGCTAATGTCGTCTTGAAAAATACGACATTAGCATGGTAATAAGAACACACACCAGTGATGTGGACAATCGGCTGGTCTGTCTCGGTTTTGTGGTTCATTCTCCTCCATTTGTGTCCGAACAGCAGCATTACTATCCTTGCAATGGCTCCCTGTGTGCCTCCGAATAAAATCCTTGATGCTCCCTGCCGCCATAACGTTTAACTAGAACGCCACTACGCTGCCAAAGCAACAGCTGAGCTGTCTTCCGGTCGAATGCTGCCATCCTTCTCGCTGTTAGCTTATATTTTGTTCGTCATTTCTTTAAATACAGGGCACTAACTATTTAGCTAGTGGCAAAAATCTTTTTATTTGATCAAAAATAAACTAAATATTGAAAATTATTCATGGTGATGAAATTAGTGCTTTAAATTTAAAAGATTAAACCACGGTTGAAATGCAAAGGACTCAACGTGAGGAGAAAGAAGGCAACGTTGGTTGAAAGGTAAGGGATTTTTTTAAGCTATGGACGTATGACAGCTAGCATTAGCACTTGCTAGCACTAAGTTAACTTTGATTACTTTGATTACCTGTGCCTGTGGCACAGGCAATTGTTCCTGTGCCACAACAATTGCAGGTTAAAAAAAAATATTGATTTCTTGATGCTTCGCAGTTCATTTTTGCAATTAAATATCAATTTGGAAATGCCTGTTCTCTTGTCAAGCTTTGGTGAGCAACACTCAGCAGCTCTCACCATTACTTTATCAGCTCTGTTTCATATAAAACAGTTCTTCATCTTGATTTATCGTTATCAAACAACTATTGCTGGGCACTTAATTGTACATATTAATAACCTAAATCAGAGGAGCACAAACAAAATTAGCTGTTCTGACAGCTTACTGCTCTTGTTTGTCCGAAACGAAAATGGTGGTTCCCTGATCTAAATTTAGTAGTTTGACGCAGGTGATCAGTGGTATAGCAATGACCGTAGGTGGATCATTGACTGTAACTACTGTAGGGAAGTCAGTCTGGATGTGCAGTCAGAGCCAGGAGTGGAGGGATTGTGATGTCATGCGCTTCACTGAAACAGACTTCTTTAATAATTTTTAAATTTTCATAACTATAATTTTCAGCCATTGTTTACACCCAGATGGACCAGGTCTGGTTTCTGTTGGTGCAGAATTATGATGCATGTCAGACATCAATGATATAAAAGTCAGATAAAAAGGAATGTCACCGTTCAGTTTGCAGACACTTTAAAAAATAATCGGATGTATCCAATTTAGTACCACATACAGATGTAACACAAATCAGATTTTTTTGGGGAAAATATTGGAATCGGGCCGTTCAGACTGCTGTGAAAAAGTCAAAATTTGATTCACATTTGCATGATTGTTTTATGAGTAGCTGGTCAGTGATGTCTTCTTCAATGACATTTCTATATTCTTGATTTGAAGTGCGTGAAGCATTTAAAGCTGAAACTTTACACTCTTCCTCATCAGATCTTCCTGTTGACACTGCTGATAGCCCTTTAACACTATACACCTTTACACAGCATTACCACTGCCGTACCGGTCAAGTTGCACTCATCTCCTTCCTCACACTCTTAGTTAACACTCTGGCCTTGCATGATACTTCAAATTAGCTGTTTAGCGGATGCATGAAAATACACAGGGGCCCCTGTGACCGATGTATTTATACCCGGTGCATTGGCATGCACGGGGCAAACCTGAGACATTTCGCTTCTCTCAGCCCTCATTGTGGCTCTGATTTACGGCCAGGGGTTTTTTTAGAGAGAGGGCATAACCTGACCCAGGAGGCAGGAGAGGACAGAGAGGAAGAGCTGGAGAGTAAATGACAGAAGAGCAAGCACTAAATTACATAAATCATCTTCATAAAGAGCAAGTTCGGCTGGTCCTGATGAAGAAAGAGGAGAGTTAAAAGTCAGAAGTTTTGATTTACCAGTTCATCTATGTCTCAGCCCTCTGCATGTATCATATGTTATGGATCACGAGGAGGAACAAGATATCTGATAAAAGCTAACAGATTTAGCTATTAGTATGACAGCATTGCAGAGGCGTCAAAAAGACTCGGTTGAAGTGGTTCAGTCAACTGGTCTTGCTGGCTCCTCAAAGCTCACCCAGTCTATTTGTCATCACTACATCACATCACAGGGCAGTGAAGCCAGTCTGTCAGTAGCTGTGTTTCCATTACAAATGTGCACAAATCTTTGTTCATATTGTCCTAATGTCAAATAAACACAATTTGAAATTGTGGTGTTTCCATTAAATAAGAAACAAAATTAAAATCTGAATAACTTTGTTCACACGATAAGTCATTAAAAATCATGCTAGCAACATGAGATAATGAGATAATAATAATTCTTAATTCATCCATGGTGTTAGCGGAGAAATTGCAGTCTGTGATTTTACAGAGGAGCGATGAATGACACAACTTCCTATGAACTGATTGATGCTGTGAGAGCTCTGGTGGAACCAAAAACAAACCATCATCCTCCTACTATTTTGTGTCGTCTGTCGTAATTTCTGCCTGAGGTTAGGGGACAACATCCTGATGTTACCAAATGATCATGTGAGCCAAATAAACCATTTCAAAAACCTCAGGAATATCACAAAACAGCAGGGACCCTCCATCACCTAGCAACCCAAGAGAGGCACCAGTACATTTGGTCAACTAGTTTTACCACTGTATACGCTGTACAATGGCTGCTGGAAAAGACGTGTTTTTGTCTTTTTCAGAAACCACTTACTGCATTCTTGTTGATTGTGCATTAGGCTCCACTTCTGTTTTCTGAAGATGTACAGTTATGTTATTGTACATCTGTTTGCAGCCATTTTCAGTGTGAGTTGGGAGCGTGACCAGCGGCTGCTTATTTAGATTTAAAGTGACAAGATGCCCTAAAACAGCTCATTCTGAAAGGAGCTCAAATTAGGCAGAACTGACCAGACTAAAACCTGAAAATTATTTTGTGGAAAAAAAACATAATGAACATGTTTTGTATCACCCATAGACATATCATAACCTTTTCTTTAAGGAAATATAAAATTTGGCAAAAAAAGTACCAATCTATATCAAATGCCTATATAAGAGGGCCAAATTTGTACTATTATTAGCTTGAGGATGAAGGCATACACAATTGTTCCAGGGGCCACAAATGGCCCCGAGCTTTATTTTGGACACTCTTGAGTTACAGAAAGGGAAGGACGTCCAATTAGCTACAGATGCCTGCAGTAATATGCTTCATCTTCAGTAGATTATCAATCCTCCACCTATTCCTAGAAAAAAACCCTTCACAACTCATTCTGCCCTGATAATATCTCCACTGTCATAATCCCATCCCCTGCTCTTCCTCCTCCTCCTCTTCTTCCACCCACCCGTCCCCTAACCCCAGATTGGTGAGCACCAACAGGTGTCCACGCCGCAGGCCTCCCAGTACAAACACATTCCACCCTTTCGTGACTCCCAGCATGGGGCGCCCAATCAGGCCGTGGTTTGACCAGTGGAGCCACAAAGATCCGAAGGGGCGGGAGAGACGCACGCTGGACGGACAGAGTGTCCCGCTGGAGAAGTCTGGATTCAGGGGGACGGTACCGAGGAGTCAAAACGACTGCAGCCTTTAACAAGGATGTAATGGTGGCCATCATGGTTCGGATAAGGTTGAGTTTCAACATGGACTCATTTCTCATAATATGCTGCATTCTTTGTTTCACCTGCACAGGTAGGGAATCTATAGTATTTTATTATGTACATGTTAAAAGTTTACATTTTTAAAATCTTTCAGATATTATTTATTTCTGTCATTTCCTGCTTCAATTTCTATTGCTGTCTATTTTTATTGTTTGCTTTCTAATTTTTCTGTTTTCTCATGGCCCATGTATGTTTCTGAATAATAAGGTCTGATTGAAGGATTTAACCTTTCCAAGTAAAAAAAAAACTGGCAAGAACACAAAGTGTGGACTGAAAAAGGTGTAAATTTATTATATCTTTATTTTTTATACATACATTATGAAGATCAAAATAGCAAAATGTTTCCGGTATATTTTCTCTGCGGAGTGTGTAAACTAATAAAAAATAAACAATCGTAACCAAACCTTATTGTTTTTGCTTAGTATACATAACACCATTACATATTATAATGTTTTTATGCTACAGTGAATAAATCAGCTTCTTTTTTATTCTTGTCATTTTTAAAACAAATTTAGATATAAAATAATTCTGTTTAAATAAAATTTAATTCCTGTTTGACCTCGAATAACACTCAGGAAAACAACCTGTTGCATTTTTCTGGTTGGTGGCCTGTGGTGCAGGACGACATCGATATTCTTTCTTGACGACATCAAATACAAAATAAAGACACAAATAAACCTCTACAGCTGAAATACATCTGGGGGTGGGGGAACAGGATATTTACTTTTATTTCCTTTTTATCAATGTTTTTTGTATTTTTTTATGAAAAAAAGAAAATCTGTCATCTATTTCTTGCACAGGACCATCTAATGAACGAAATCAACACATCATTGTTTGTCAATCAGAAAATATTTCCGTCCCCGTTGGAGACGGTATCCCAGAAATCCCTCTGATCCGTCTTCCTCGTAGCGTATCCGTCACATTAGCTCGGTGTCGATTGCTGCTCACTGTGACACTCGTTGACCCTTTTGTGTGTCCTGTTTGTCCCTCACTGTCTCTCCTGAAAATTATGTTTTATTTATTATATTTATCAGTCAGTTCTCATAATCCTATTTCCTGCTGTCACCAGGAGAACAAGATTGGTGGCTCATAAAAGCTGTTTTGTTGTTAAGGTTTCTGATAACTGAGTAAAATTGTGCATCATTTTAATTAATTATATTAATAATTTTAATTAAATATTTTTCACAGATTCGTTGTACACTAAAGGATATTTCTGCTGTTATGTCTGACAGCTTGTGAAAAACCTAAATTCCATTTCTCGAATAATTAAAACATTTTAAAATTATATTTAGATAAATATTTAAGTAAAGTTAAATGTTAGGAATTTTGCTGTCAATTAAATCAAATTGAAATTTGGTTCCAACTACCTTTGCAGATTGATTTTTCTACTTATGCAATCAAAACATGAATTAATTCAGCTGCCTGATTTATATTTTTTTCCTTTTTTTTTTTTTTTTTTTTTTACAGTCATATCAAATAAGTCAAAATATGTGTTCAGATCAGGCTTGATCGTCAGATTAAAATCACATTTTTAAAATAAAAATGTAAACAGCTTTTGAACACATTTCTCATTTTATTTATTTATGTTATTTGAAAACATTTATTTATTTTTTTCTTTTCCAACAGAAGTTGAGATGAAAACTGAAAAATAGATGGATCTGAAGGAAATTTTGAAGATTTTCAGCTGCAGATCATGTTGAATTTTGGTCTTGAGTCTTGTTGTGGACTAACTATTTTATTGAAAAACAGTAATTGAACCCTTGTGCTTGTTAAGACAGTCTTTGTTTTAGATCACTCTTTTGTCAATGACAAAAGGCTGTGAATGTTGAGTTGAACATAATTTTCCACCAAGGTTGTTCAGCAAAGTCCATCTCATCATAACTTTAGGGTATGGCTGGATGATGTGCCTGAAAAACCTATCACGATATAACCATTTCATATCAGTCGATATCCATAATTGTCTATTGATAATTAATTATTATTTATTTATTCTAAATATCTGAAATGCTGTCAAACTGGTACCATGGTCTTACCTGTTTTATTCACAGTTTTTACACCCTGTTTTTATTTATAAGCACTTATGAGTCACAATGGTGGAACTTTAAGCTGCTGCTGCCGCAGTTACTCAGCAGGTCGTTGCTGGGTAACCAAAGAGTGAGTGAGTTGCTAGGTAACCAAAGAGTGAGTGAGTTAGTTGATTCCACCAACCTTGCCTAGCTGGATGTGAGAGGTTGAGCAGTTAAAGCCTTTCATCTGGATCAGAGTTCAGTGAATATTCTACATATTGGATATTATTAATATATCAGCTGTGTTATCTATCACGTGTCTATCGCGATATATATTCTCTGCAAACACATTTTACCAAGTATTTTTGTCAAGTTTCTAGTGCAAATATCTTAGTACTCTTGAAATAAGTTTTTAGGAACTAGTTTTACATAAATAATTTCTTAATATTGATTTTTAAAAAGTACTTGTTCCATTAAGTAAAAATAATCTGCCAATGGAATTAGTACTTTTTCATCAATATTCAAGAATTTGGACTTAAAACAAGCTTCTATTTCTTGCTGAAAAGTTACTTGTAAGTTGATTTTGTCTTATTCAAGTGTAGAAACTAGAGAAAAAATTTTAGGGTCATTTTTTACTGGGAGTCTCCCAGGAAGCAGCAGTCATCATCACCACTTTTTTATTTTTATTTTTTGCGAGTTTCCTCACCGCCTGCTATGAGACTCTCTCTCTTTGCCATGAGGTCGGCGACCTCTACATTAAATAACAGATCAGCCGTGCATCCTGTAGATTGCGTCAGATGATATTTTTAGCCTGTAATCTTAGTGGGAATTGAACACAACACCAAACCGCAGCAGGTGTGACTTATCGATCCAGAGAACAAACACACTGCCTTTCAGAGGCTTACGCTGGGAGTTCAAGCACACTTTGTCCAACCGTCCTGTCACTCGCTCTAAGCCGTTTCACATTTCTTTCCTGCACCATTCGTCACAGTAAATATTTGGTCTTCCAGGCGCCTCGGAGACGGAGCGAAGACTCCACCAGAAGTTGTTCCAGGACTACAACGTGAAGGTCAGGCCGGCGCGCCACTGGAAGGAGAGGGTGACGGTGCGCGTGGGGATGACGCTGTCCCAGCTCATCGGCTTGGTGAATATCCAGCAAAACCAATAGAAACCCTCACTTATTACTGATGCAGGAGAGGCGGGACTCCATTAGAAACACTTATTGAGTTCATTTGAGAGTTTTTAATTACGCTACAAAAACAAAATCTTACCGTTTGGTGTAGGTTTTAGTGCAAATAGAAGCTTTTTTGAGTAAATAATTTAATATTGATGAAAAGTACTAGTTTTCCTGACAGATTATTTTACTTTGATTTTTTTTCCCATGTTGTAAATGAAATAATCTGCCAGTGAAACTAGTACTTTTCATCAATATTAAGGAATTATTGATGTTAAACAAGCTTCTATGTCTTCCTTAATAAGTTAGCTTTGTCTTATTGTATGTGTGCAAAGATATTTGTACTACAAACTAGACCAAAATTTGTGGTAAAATTTTGTGTTTTTTCAGTGTAATTAATTGCATTTTAACCAAAAACCATGTCAACAAAAAAACATTTAAAAAAAAAAAAGCTTTTGCTGCTAAATTGTTACGTTATTGAATAAATAGACAATAACAAATAGCATAAAGAATATTCTTCTTACAAAGTCATTTTTTAGTGTTTTAGTTCCAAACTACACTAAGAAAGTAGAATGTTGAACTTGAGAGAATACAAAAACATTTTCATTATTCTAAAACCTAAAAACAAAGTGGAAATTTTTGCTCTTTAATTTAAAAATCTAAACAAATGTCTTGTAGTAGATATTGTAACAATAATAATTTTTTGCTTGTAGCTTTTGTGGCGCTAAACAAATTTGATTTAGCTAGATGGAAAAAATGTCTCTCAGGCCTGTAAAGGTTGCTGACGGTCTTCTCAAAAGAAAAGGGATGATAAATAATCTCTCTCTGAAGGCTACAAGCTTTGGAAAGATTACCAAAGAACACAAAGTTTTGTCCTACAGGCACAGAGGAGTCGTACAGCCTGTTGGAAGCAGGGGAACCAATAATGTAGATGCATATGGTGTCATGTAAAAAATGTTTTTAAAGAGGTGCAGTTTCTTTCTGCTAAATGTGTAAAATTATGACTAGACGGAGTATTTTTCTCATTCTCCTAAACAATATAACATGACAAAGTAGGCTTAGATGTCAACAGCACACATTAACGAACGTCAATGTTTTCCTTTCTGTCCTGCTACAGAATGAAAAGAACGGCGAGATGACAACAAACGTGTTTATGAATCTGGTATGGACATAAAAACACTTTTCTGTAACGCCAAGCCGCTTTCTGACTCCCAAACCTAAAGGGATCCATCACTAGATGAACATGCTGGCCTCAATATATTGTAATTTATGCATTAACCGAAAAGTTATCATACATAAAAGCTCATAATTACTTCAACAATTATTTCAAAATCTGTATTATATTTATCACTTACAGAGGTTGCCTTTTATATATACACAAAATATTTGTTGAACCAAACAAATGTGATTGACTTTTGATCTACTGTTTACCACATTAGCTATAGCTAACAGTGTTAGCAGGAGCTAACAGCATTAGCAGGAGCTAACATGGAATCTAAACAAATGAGTGGGTAATGAATGGATGTTTAAAGTGTCAATGAAGCATCTTTAAATCGTTGCAACACAGAACAAAGCACAACAATTACTGTTCAGAGTGGATGGAGCTAGCATTAGCATGTAGCATACATCATCCATCCAACATGGTGATGTGTGTGCAGAAATATTTTCTTGAAATTTAATAGAAAACTTAGCAACCTATGGTATTTTTCACTGTATTGTTTTCACATCTGAAGTGAATATTAATCAAAGTTAATGCTTTCAACTAGTTGTGGATCCCTTTAATCATGTAGGCCAGGTCATTGTAGATAGAAGAAAAAACTGAGTGAATTTTCCACCAAAAATTCAGAAATTTTGAGATTAATCTCTGAAAATTTGTAGAAAAAACAAGGACATTTCTGAGATAATGAAAGTTGAAAATGTTCTAGAAATTTTAATATTAAGTTTAGAAATTTTCTTAAAGAAAAAAAAAACTCTCCATTGATTTCTAAAGTCAAAATGTTCAACTTTTGAAAAGTTTTGACTTTTCACACTCAGGAATTTCCTAATTTTTTTCTAGTAAATTTCTTATATTTTTTTTTTGGAAATTTGTTCCTATTTTTTTTTTTTTTTCTTCAATGGGCATAATACACATTGTACTCTAAAACTACCTTTACATTATAATATATTTAACTTCTGGGTTTAATCTCTGATCAGGGAAGCCGACATTGGCATCAGTTACTCAGAACATATCTGTTCTTCTTTTGTTTTTGTTTTTTTACCATTTCAACCCTGTCTGTTGTTTTTCCTGCATCCATCCCAGAACTGGACAGACTACAGGTTGTCATGGAAACCGGAGGAATACGACAACATTGCTGTTGTGAGGATTCCTCCCAACAAGGTGTGGCGTCCTGACATCTACCTCATAAACAAGTGAGTGCCGTGTCTCCACCAATGCAATAACCCGTCATGACTGAGGCAACAGGTTTGCTACAATAAATAAATAAATGAGTGATTTTATGCGTAAAGTGTGAATAAAGGTCTCACGTTTGTCTTTGTTCCTCCTCACAGTCACGACGGGCAGTTTGACGTGGCTCTGTACGTTAACGTCTTGGTTTACAGTAACGGTATGGTCTCTTGGTTGCCACCTGCCATCTACCGTAGCTCCTGCTCCATTGAGGTATAAAACTAGCCCTATAGATGTGTGGTTTGTGTTGATCAAATCCCAATTTTCTTGCTTTTTGCGACATTAACTTGGTATCAGAAATGAGAAAGCTTGTAAAGTAGAAGTAGCTTGAGACAAAAATATAGCATCATGTTGATGGTAAATAAAAGTATATTGTGTTTGGTTGTGTTGTATAATCTGTAGGTGGCATATTTCCCATTTGATTGGCAAAACTGCAGCATGGTTTTCCGTTCGTACACCTACGACGCTTCAGAGGTCGACCTGCAGGTCTACCTTGATGAGAACGGGACAGAAATCCATGAGATCGTCATCGATAAAAATGCTTTCACAGGTTTGCTCCAAACAGACACTTATCTAAACCCATTTATTCTGGTATTTATTCATTTCTTTGAGACGTTGGAGTGTCTTTTCGTTCGCCACAGAGAATGGAGAATGGGCCATTCGTCACAAACCAAGCAGGAAGAACGTTGGAGACGATCTGTACGAGGACATCACCTTCTACCTCATCATAGAGCGGAAGCCGCTCTTCTACATCATCAACATCATCGTTCCCTGCATCCTCACCAGCGTGTTGGCTATATTCGTCTTCTACCTGCCTCCTGGGGCAGGTCAGCATGAAATTAATGCAGAAAATGTGGGATCATCATAAGCTGTATTGACCTTTTACAAAACATCGCCGAATCACGTTGAGGAATGGGAGAATTGAACGGAGCGGCAGAGATCGTTTTCCAAAGTCGTTTTTGCCTAACTAGTTTCTACTTGTTCAAGCTGAGCTAATTTGTCTGTGGCTGTAGTGCACTTATTTGGAACAATGGCTATTGTAGTTATTAAAATGAGAAGTAAATTTCCATCCAAAAATTATTAAATAGAAAAAACAAGGAAATTTCAGGGTTTCAAAAGTTGAAAATATGCTAGAAAAAAAAACATACATTTTGAGATTATCAGAATTTTTTTATTTATTTTTTTTATTTTAGCCAAAGATGATGACTACATTATTAGGTTTGGAAAAGTAAAAAAGGCACTTTAAAATAAAAAATTATCTCTTTTAAAGCAAATATTAACACTGTTTGGAGTTTTCTGGTTCTAATCAGGATTTCCAGCTTGTGTATAAATCCTAACTTGTTTTTTTATTCTTCTGTTTCCAGGGGAGAAGATGACTCTCTCCATTTCCGTCCTGATCGCTCTCACTGTCTTTATGTTGCTGCTGGCCGACAAAGTCCCTGAAACTTCACTCGGCATCCCCATCATCGTCAACTACGTCATGTTCACCATGATCCTGGTCACCTTCTCCGTCATCCTGAGCGTGGTCGTCCTCAACCTGCACCACCGAACGCCCAGCACCCACATCATGCCAAACTGGGTCAGAAAGGTAAGAATCGCCTTTCTGTTGACACTTTGCAATTTAATCACATCGAGGTGCCATGATGGACATCGTAAATTAGGAACAGGACTATTGAACACGATTGTTTTTCCAAGTTGGTTTTTCCAATAATTATTGTTTCTACTTGTTCAAGGTCAGCTAATTTGATTCCTCACATGTTTGGTCATTTGGTCAAACTGGCGAATTTTTCTGAATTCTCGCCACACGATTTAAACCACTATGTCATAAACACTGTTTCACTGTTTGACTCAAGAGTTTAGATGCTAGCCAGTTTTGTTCATACATGCTACGATACATGGTGGTGCTGCATCGTCTCCATGGTTACTAAAGATTAGACACATATAGTCTCAGTCTCTGCAATATCTGATTGCATATACTTACTTATAAAGTATATGAAGGTTAATCTTTTTACTTTGTAAAAACTGTTAGCTCAAATCCACAAGTACACTGAGGTCTGCTAGGCCTTCCTGCTAGCCATGGCCGCCATCTTCCTTCCTCATTAAAAGTTATACAATAAAATAAGTTTGGTTTTTCATACTTGTCTGTTTGCAGCCAATCATGTAGCAACTATGATCATTTTACCACTGAATAAAAGTGATGCTAGGCTACAACGCTAATGCATCGTGACAAATGGCACACTTTCTGAAAAGTGTAATGTTACGTGTAAAGGGTCAGTACCAATTAAAAATCCCATTTCACAGCTTCACTTAACTGTTATACCTAAATTTGCAGGTGTTCATTCACATCCTGCCCAGATACATTGGCATGATGAGACCAAACCCAGAAGAACCTTTACTGGAGGAGGACTCTGAGAAGGACGACATATCGTTCCGTGGTTTCAGTGGACGCCAACCTGGAGGAGAGTACTTCTTCCGCAAGATCAACCCTGACCTTGTCTTACCATGGAGAGGGAGGTAAGGTTATGCTTAGGAAGGTCTAACGTCAAAGAAAAAGCAAATTTTTAGTTTAAAATGTAAAATTCACATTTTGGATGTTTTTCATGCTTGCATTTATGTCTCTACGGCTCATAAGAATAAACTAGTTGTTTTTTATGTCAGGAAAATTAGGTGTTTCAAAAATCTCCCAAATGTTGAGTCACTATTAGGCCTTTCACAATAATACATTTTGTCAGAAGGTAATTTCTGCGATAAATGATACTATTGTTGTTTTGAGACAATTTTCAATCAATATATTGATAATGGGACAATAATGCAAGCTTGCCCCTTCAAAAACAAACCTTAATTTTGTACAGAACATTTCACACTCTAGCGAGAAGATTTGTTAATTAGCTGAAATAAAACACAACAAACAAAAACTAATAAAACGGAAATAAAAACCATGTGCAAAGAGGACCATAAATAAAATAGATTACGATGTCTCTGTAAACAAAATTGCCCTTGGAAAAATATCAGAACGGAAATTATCAAGTACATTTTAATTAATAATGCGATGGATTTATTGCTTATTGTGACAGACTTGGTCACAATAAACAGGCATTCCGCTGTTACCTAGCAACCCAGCCGAGCCCAGCACTGTTACCTAGCAACCCAAGTGAACTGATTTTTAAATTTAATTCGATTGAAAAATATTAATTAAATGGTGTTGTAAATAATTAATTCAAAGAGCTATTGTAGATGGTAATGGCTGTTGGCAGGAAAGATTTCTCGTAGCGGTCTGTATTTCAGCGAATCTGAAGACGCCTCTGACTGAAGACGATGTACAATAACTGCTGGAAAAGACAAGTGTTTTGTTGTTGACTTACTATTGAGAAACTACCTGCTGGATTCTTCTTGGTTGTGCAGGAGGCTCTACTTTTGCTTTTCAAATTTGTACGATTGTATTGTGCATCTGTTTGCAGCCAGTTTCACGCTGGGTTGGGAGGTGTTGCCAGCAGCAGATTATTAGGATTTAAAGCGACAAGACATCCTAAAACAGCAAATAGTCTAAAATATCCAGACTGAAATCTCATTATCTACAAATGATTAAGTGTAAAATATGTTAGAAACATGTTTTATATAACCGACAAACATATCCTAACCTTTAAAATGTCAGAATCTGTAACTCAGCCTACTTTTTGGGATTGGTTTGAAATGTAATCAGAAAAACTTATTTCACTTGTACATGTTTATTTTAAAGATAAAAAGTCACAGCTGACTTCACTGGGGCTAATGTTGAAAAAAAAGAAATATCCTGAGACTTGCCACTTGACTCTGGCATCAGAAGCATTTTGGCGCTCTCATGAAGCCGGCCCGGTTCCTCGGCATCTCCACCCCGTTCCAGAGGCATCAGATTCAGCCTCAGCTAAGCCCTGCACTCCCATTGACAGTCGCCAGCCACTAAGCCTCTATTTAGGTTGGGCATTAGGGGGTAATCCCACTGAAAGGAGGTGGAGGGTGGCGAAAGAACAGAAAGGGAGAGATGGCCGCCATTGTTGACTGATCGGGCCACAAGAGGCCTGATGTTCAATGGAGTAGAAACAAAGAGCTTTCATCGACATATTTGCATTTTGCTTCTGCTGTTTAGCTTGCAAGGCAATCAGAATGAAGGTATTTTGGTTGATTTTACCCATTTATATGGGTAAAATCGGTGGAAAAAAGTGTCCAGAAAGTTGACAGTAAATTGTCCCAGAAGTTATTGTGATTAACGATAATATTGTTGTTTTGAGACCATTTTCAAGTAATATAATGGTAATGGCATAAAAATGCAAGAATACAACTTTAAATTCTAATGAACATTTAACATTGGAATATCCAAATGGATAAACGACAAGTAATATGAATTATGAAGTTTCTGTAGACTTAATTATCTTTCCCAATAGAGCAAGTTGAGACCAAAACACCAGGCTGAATTCTGGTGTCAAGTTTTTGGTAGAAAGAGAAAAATTATAAATCATGCAAATGGAAATTTATAATCCAATTAATTGATTTCTTGCTTATTGTGATAGATCTACTTGAAATAAATAAATAAAAAATTGTTGTTTTTTTTTGTTTTTTTTTGGGACATTTAATATGTCTTCCACTGTCAGTGTGGAGTGTTCTGTTCAAAATTCAAATCTACTGGTCTTTGAGAGGGCGAACTTGAAATATTGCCAATATATTACTAGAAAATGATCTCAAAATGTCCAGCAAATTTGTTATCATCGAATTACAGTCTTGGATACACAATTAGTTTTCCTGGTTCTTCATCATTCGATTCCTGAAACACTTTTATTTCTTTGAATGCATTCCGGTTGTATGAGTGTGCGCACACCTGTCACAGTGAGGCCATTTATTATACAGTCTGTGTATGTAGTGTACAGTTACAGGCGTGTGCAGTGGTAAAGTGTGGTAACAGCAGGAGGAAGGGGTCAGACGAGCCAGACACACGGAGACGGTGCGACAACACATGAATGAAGCAGCTGATTGAAGGCTGGTGCGTGTGCTTGTAGATTAGTGAAAAGGAACAGTTAATAGTGCTATGCATGCTGCATACCGGCCACATTCAGTGCCGCAGATTGCTGGAGAGCTGAACATTGTGATTACCTGGGCTTCAGACGAAGCTAAAAACATAAAACAATCACCCTAATGTTTAGAGCCTTCAGAAGTTGCAGGCGAGCCTTTAGCTAAAATCACGCTTTTAAAAAACGAGTTTCATTTTAACTGTAATGTTTGTCAAAACTGGTTTGCTTATTCTTTAAATTCATTTTGTAGAGTCAGAAAGTTATTTTCTCCAGACTTTCGTTACTCCGCCCTTGGCAGTTGGGGGTTGCCGTAGCAACCAGTAACTGTCAGCCCCTCCCCCATTTTTCTGTTGCCCTCTGTAACTGTAGTTTGTTTTACGATCAGCATACTCTGTGTTTATTTTAATTTTAGATAAATTTAATTATAAACAGGGTTCCATGTATGATTTTGCCATGTTTTTTTTTTCACTGTTATAATTAATGTTGTGTGTTTTAGCTGCTAATTTAACAACTTCATTGGGAGCCATTGCTCTGTAGTTTGTTTAAGGTTATTTATTGTAGTTTTGTTTAATGTTGACCAGTTTGATTTTCTCTCTTATTAGAATAAATGCAATAAGTCTGAACGTGTTTGTTGTGAAAAGACAATATGCAATAAATCAATTAATCGCATGATTAATTAAAACAAACTCTAAATTTTCCATTTGCATGATTCATCATTCTTTTCTTTCTACCATAAACTTGTTGACAAAAGGTTTCAATCTGGTGTTTTGGTCTCAACTAGCTCTTTTTTTTTAAGGATAATTATGTTTAAAGAGACTTTATAATAAAGTTTATTTGTTGCTTGTTTTGTTATATTTATTTGGATATTCCAATGTTTGAGTTCTTGCATTTTTATGCCATTACCATTATGTTACTTAAAAATGGTCTCAAAACAACAATATTATTGTTTATCCCAATAACTTCTGGGACAATTTATTGTCAACCTGGACATGAGAAAAACACTTTTTTCCACCAATTTTACCAAATTAAAACATACAAACGGGTAAAATCAACCAAAATACCTTTAGTTTGATTGCTTTGCAAGCTAAACAGCAGAAGTAAAATGCAGATATGTTGATGAAAGCTCTTTGTTTCTACTCCATTGAACATTAGGCCTCTTGTGACCCGATGGCGGCCATCTTTCCCTTTCTGTTCTTTCCCCACCTTCAAAATGTGCATATTAAATGTTGATGGAAACACGGCTAATGTTTATTGGATGCACAGGACCATTATATAAATTAAAATCTAGGTTGGGGACAGATAAAATACATTTAAAAAAGACAAATTCCATGATTAATGCAGGAAATTTACATGAAAAAAATATTGTATATTTCCTGATATACAGGAAAGATCCTGCTGCTTGACTTGAATAATGCTTTATGTATAAAATTCAAACGCTTCCTCCTGCACTTTTTTCGGTCTACACTTTGTTTTTGAAGGAACAGCTGTGACTGGAAGAATCCTTCAGAGGTCAATGCATCACATAAATGTTGCCTCAAAGGCACCAACTGCATGGGGGCAACACCGAGTCCGTCATGGTTGCCTCATGCAGGACAGATAAAGTCACTGATGGTATGCAACAGTGCTATGCTACCGAGTCATGACATAAATCACAGCTTATGGCGCCTGTGAACGGTGACGTGTCACAGTTTTAACCACACATTGTGTAGACTGACAGTTATTCCACAAACAAGTCAAAACATGTTGGCGATTGTCAGAGATTTGACATCAAAATACTTTTGCATGTGTATAAATCACTGAATGGTCACTGCAATGTAATGTTTATTTGTTTTGTTAAAGTACCTACTGACTGGACTGTGCTATACAAACAAGTTTGACTTAATTATAACATTTCTGACAAGTCTTAGCTTAGTATGCTAACATTTGATAGTGAAAATAATCAATATTGTCACAGTTAACATGTTATCAACTTACTAATGATCTATTCATAACAACATGCTACGCATAACAACAGGCTATGTTCAAATGAGTATCCTCTAATAGAATTTTAAGCTAATATGCTAAACTTTTATGCTAGGTTTGCTCTGAATTTATCAGTTTTGATTTATTTGAGGTCTGAATTCTAACTTAAATGTTTATTTAACTGAAACAACACAAAAACTCATCACATTAAACCTGCTAACTGTGACAGAATTTTAATGGAATATGTTTAGCTCGCATGCTAACCTGGTATGCTAATCTTACATGGTAAGTACTGTTTGGATGTATCAGTTTGTATGTACAGTCAGATGTTTTATCAAAATCTTAATAACGTTCATTCAATTGATACCATACAAAAAACTAACCAGAGTTACTGATAGAATTTTAACACAGTATTCTAGCTAGTGGGCTAACTGCTAGTATGTTACCGCTAACTGCTAGTATGTTACCGCTAACTGCTAAGTTTTGTCTTAGTTTTTATACAGTCACTTGTGTTTTGAGGCCAAAATTTCCACCATTTTTCATTTAGGTACCAAAAATTAATCACACTAAGCTAAGGTAGCTAAGCTAAGCTAGCCACATTTTGGGTTAGCTAGAAATCCATTCCTCACTCTTTCAGTTTGTGCGGTTAATTCAGGTGTGAGAGCACAGTGCAGCTCCAGCAGCTCCCGGACTCGGACCGGTTCTGCCTGATCCTCCCTCCCAACCTGAAGTCGGCCATCGACGCCGTGACCTACATAGCCGAGCAGCTGAAGAAGCAGGACACGGACGATTCAGTGAGTGTTTGGGCCGTACAAGTGGCGGATTGTAAAGAACTACATTTATTTTAGTACTGTAGTTGAGTACATTTTTTGAGTATCTTTATTTGATTATTTTTTTCTATTTTTACTTTTAACTTTCAACTGCACTACATTTCTAGGAAGCTCGTTCCTTTTACTCAGAATGGCTTTGTAGTTCGCTGTTAGCTCAGTGTCTGATGTTGGTAAGCTTCTATGTTAATTATGGCACCTTTTCATTACCAGTGTTGCTGTTTGTGGGAAGAATCTTATTTTTTTTCTTTGTATAGGGTTTGGTATGTTTGGTATGTAATATTTTTACTGAAGTACTAGAGCCGAGTACTTTATCCACCATCAGGCCCAAACCAGCTCTGATTTGTGGCGCTGAATGGAGCCGAGTCGGCGCTAACAGGAAGTGGCTTTTGTGTTCCAGATGACAGGAGACTGGCAGTTCATCGCCCTGGTGGTGGACCGCCTCTTCCTGTGGCTGTTTGTCATCATCACCACCCTGGGAACCCTGGCCGTGTTCCTGGATGCCAGTTTTAATTACACACCGGACAACCCGTTCCCATAAAGGACAGCATCGCTAAAACACGCTGTGCAGGTCAAACGCTCCCCAAGTCGGACTTTCCTTGACCAAACGGTTCTGTTTTGTTCTGGTCAGCTTGTTTTGTGAAGTTGCCTTTCTCTGAAAAGTAAACAGATGCCAAATGTTGAATCAAATGTGTTATTTTTCTACAATTTATGTATTCAGTCCAGTTTTATGAAGCCAAAAACTTGAATTTTGTGCATTTTGCACTTAAAACTCACTGGGTGTAGTTTATATTTTTATCCAGTAGAGGGCAGTGTATATATTTTAATCAAGTCTGCGGCTGTTTCATGTGTTATTGCTGCACTTCTGTTGTTGTGTTTAAGAAAGCCACATTCTGAAGCAGGGATTTTACTATAATTATTATAATTACATGTCTCTTTAGTGTTTTTATTGGATTTTGAGTCAGATCCAAATGAAAACTGCAGTTTTATTTGATAAAATCCTTAAAGGGATTTACTTTCCTGTCCCTTTGGTTTTGTTTGAGATACATTTCTTATTACTGGCTCTCAAAGGTGTACATGTTTTAAAATAAAAACCATTTTACTGTTAGTACAAAACATCCACTTGCATTCACAGATCATGTTAAATCAGACCAATGTTGCTACCATAATTAGCTTTAGTTGCTACTTTTTTTTCTCTGTGTCTGAGCAAAATGAAAGCGATAGCCTTAGGAAGGATTTACAGTATAAGCTGAATTTGAACTTCCCTTCCATCCACATCATGAGTAGCATTAGCTTAAAGTGACTTTTTAGGACAAATTTACACAGGTTGAGTCATGTAACGGATAAAATAACGTTTTGACCTATACATTAATGTAGTGCAGTTAAAAGAAAAAACGTTTATGTGGAAAACAGTGAGACTCACACAATCAACCAGTTGCTGATTTAAAGATGGTTATTCAGGGTAAACATGCATTTGAACAAACCTGAGTAACAATGCTGGTCAGAAGTGGAGCATAAATGTATTGGTTTGGTCAGAGTGTTTGTGCATTAGATTAGCCTGCAGTTTTTGTCATAAGTGGTATTTTCCTTGAATTACAGACACATTGGTTAGAACTGCAAACTGATGCTTTCAGTCAGTGTTTCTCCTCTTCTTTGTTGGATAAGTCTGCATTTAAATTTTTACTTTATTAATTGAAACTGGATTATTAAGACTAAAGTGTCTGTAGTGGCACATCTAAGTTTGGTTTTGTAAATAAAACTTCTTCACTCATTTCTTTTTCCTTTTTATTTGCTAAACTTTGTCATGGAAATGAAAATAATCAATATGAGATACAACCATGAATTCAGTTAAAATCATAACTCCCAAAATAACAGTGTCAGAAACTGGCCACCCTCTAAAAATACATAACATTATGTCCCTCTACTTATTTACAAATATATTTATTATTTAAAATGAGTTTCTTGTAAAAAAAAAAAAAAAGATTAAAATGTGTATTACTGTACATTATTTAATGGTACATCTATTTATTTCACCTATCATTAAAATTTCACATTTTGCATGTTTCTATTTTCCATTTGGGTTTCTGCTCCTTTTAAAAATACCCACCCAGCTGTTTTTGTTGATAAGTTAATGTTTTTTGGTGTCTGGAAAACGAGTCGTTTTAAAAACCTCCAGATTAAGTCTTATTCCACAAGCCAAGCCCGTTACCTAGCAACCCCAGCTGATCTCGAGCACGTTTGGATTGGCTGCTGGAAAAGACAAGTGTTTTGTTGTTGACTTAACACACAGACACCACTTGTTGCTTTCTTGCTGGTTATGCAGGAGGCTCCAATTCTGCTTTTCAAAGATGTACGGATCTGTAATTGCATATCTGTTTGCAGCCATTTTCATGTGTGAGAGTAAACGTTGAGCTGAGGGGCGTGACCAGCAGCAGTTTATTTGGATGTAAATTAACAGGAGGTTGTTAAAGAAGCTCATTTTGAAAGAAGCCCAAAAGAGGCAGAACTGAAATGAATGATTTTGTGTAAAAAATGCATTTAAAATGTTTTGAATAGACCATAGATATATTTTTAACCTCTTCAGGGAAGCATAATAGATCACCTTTACAGTGTGAGAACTGTGAAACCATAAGCCTCGCCCCTTTGACAAAATCTGCAAAATGCCGAAGTGGGCGGAGCTAAGATCCACTGAGGGGCGTGGCTAAGAGTGGGGTTGAGCGGAGGGGGTTAAAGGGACATGGTCATGAAGATAGAGGCACTGTTAATTTATCCACTTCGTTGCTATATTTATTAACTTCTTAGACCACTCTAATGATTTTTTTTATAATTAACCCTTTCATGCATAGTGGTCACTATAGTGGACAGCTGTCTAAAAGCCATTTTCTTGTGCCTCTTGTGCTTATTTTATGTTATAAATGCACACCGACCATTGACGTGGACACTAATGCATCATAAAATACACCATCAGCTACTGGCCATCAGCTGCAAATGCAAGAAATTATTTTTGTTACTCCAAAATGGCCGACGGACAAAAAAGCATGCCGACTGACCCGGTCCCTCCTCCTACTGTAGACAACTCTGGCAGGTAAAAAAAATATTGTGATATCAGATAACCGCTAAAGAACAATACTACTGATGGAGTTTTCAAATAACAACTTTGTATTTGGAGAAAATTACAATAGATCACATAAAAAACATAAATAAAATTTCCCCACCTTTTTATATGCCTTAAGAAAACAAAATAATTGGAAAAACATCCTCCAAGGATCAAAAGGGTAAAAAAAATGTCTTGGTTGTTATGGCAACAACACTGCAGCTCAGCAAAATTCACACAGAAATACAGAAATAGAACCCTGAATATATATTTATTTAGGGGTTATTTATGTTTTATTTCTGCTAGTGTTTTTTTTTTTTATCTTGTTTTTCTTATGTTCCATCCTGACGCCCAGTGAAGCAACGACAGACCAGAAGAATGAAGCCACAAGACCAAGAACACCATTTCTCAGTATTGTGCAGCAGACGGGGAGCATGAAGAGGACAGGCGCCGCCGCCCTCATTCACACCCCCACAGAGCCTTTTCAGGACAAAAGTGTTTTATCGCTGATGCCTCAGTGACTTCCACTTAAAGGATTCAGCCGTTGACTTTGTACTGTACTGCTCAGCTCAGACCCACAGGAGGCCTCAGAAAGAGGAGGCAGAGCCCCTGGAGGAATGCTGTTAAGGCTGATTTAGACGTTTTTTTCCTCTTTGGCTCCTTCTGAGCATTGTGCGACGGCGAAACCACCAAGATGAATGTGTGTTTACGCTTTGAAGAAGTGGGAAAAGGGTAGAGATGACTGGAAATGGGTGGTGGGGGGAGATTTTCTTTGGATTCGGACCTCATATAAATCAGGTTTCCAGTAGTAACAGCACTGGAAGGATTGGGATTCTCCTGCTCCTCTTCCTCACCCATTATGTTCCTGACCTCTAGATTTTTTATCTACAAAATCTCCTTATTTTCTCTAATCCAAATATTTAAAAAATGTAGAAACCTTCGTCTTTATCGTTTGTTTCAATGAGAAGCAGATTAATTCCTCGCTGCAACAATGGGGTATTTGTTGCTTCAGCTGCTGAAAGGAGGAGAGCCATAGTGACAGGAGAGGCTGGAAACACAAGAACACGAGAAACTGACAGAGAGGAGCTAGATATGCAGGAACCAAACTCTGAGAACAGGTAGTCAAAATAATATCATTAATCAGAGTATGACCTTAAATGAGTAATTGTGGCACTTACGGAAGAGGATTAGGGCCAAAAAAGTAAACAAAAAAAAAAGAATTCTGACTTTTATTTCAGAATTAGAGTTGAATTAGAACTCTGGTTCTGGGGAATTAGGGTTCCCCAGAACCAAACGAGGAGAAGCAGCATTCAGTTTCTATGCACCACAGATTTGGAACAAACTTCCAGAAAACTGTAAAACAGCTGAAACACTGGGTGCCTTTAAATCTTGACTTAAAACCCACCTGTTTAGAGTTGCTTATGGCTAAATTAGGGTTAGAGTGCGGGTTTTGATGTCTTCGATGCTTTTAATGTTTTTATCTTTAGTTTTTATCTATTTATTAATTTCCTTTTATTTCTCTTTCTCACTGTTTACATTTTAATGATGTAAAGCCCCCCAGAAAATGTCCCAGTTAAATGACGTTTAACTAAAGTCCTACAGGGTTTAGAGTCCCAGTTGACGGCGTTTCAACTAAAAACCTAGAGGTTGGAGTCCTTGTCAAACTGTTTTTGACTAAAGTCCAAGAGGGTTAGAGCCCCAGTTAAACGACATTTAACTGAGGTCCTCAAACGTGTGTGGGTTTTAATGTTTTTATTTTTTTAAATCTTTTTCAAAATGTCTTTCTCTTTCTCACTGTTTCGGTGATTTTAATGTTTTTATCCTTTTAAAATAAACTAATGTCCGAAAGGTTAGAGTCCTTGTCAAACGACGTTTTGACTAAAGTCCAAAGGGTTGGAGTCCCAGTTGAGGCGTCTCAACTAAAGTTCTACAGCTTTTATTTGTCTCTCTCACTGTTTACGTTTTAATTATGTTTTTTAAATCTCTTTCTCACATGCTGTTTTTATTTTAATTATGTAAAGCACTTTGAAATGCCTTGCTGCTGAAATGTGCTATACAAATAAAATTTGATTGATTGATTGATTGAAAGAAGATATTTTCATACACCTAATAAAAAGACATATACACCTTTTTTGTTCGTTGTCTGAAACTCAAGATTTTTCTAGAAAATTTCATAGATTAATCTCAACATTTTTGGAGCTTACAAATTTTTAAGATAAATATCAGAAATTTTCCAGAATAAACGTAGAAATTTCTGGGTCTGAGAAGATAAGAAAAAACTCAAAAATGTTTAGATTAATCTCAAAAATCTTCTCGGGGTGGGAGAGCCTGTGTTTAGTTACATTCTATGAGCCCGGCTGTGTGTCATTTCAAAAACAAATTTGAGATTAATCTCAAATTTTAATTTTTGTATTTTCTTAAGCAATTTTTCAACTTTTCAAACTGAAATGTCCATGTTTTTTTCTTAAAAATCATTTAGATTGATCTAATTTTTTCATTTTTAAGCAATTTTTCAACCAGAAATTTTCAAGTTTTTTTTTTCTAGAAAACGTTTAGCTCAATCTCAAACTGTTTTATTTTTTATTAATTTATATGGGGGGAAAAATTACGTCAGTGTTCATATTTCTGATTTAAAAAGTTTTTTTTATTTTATTTTATCTTCTTCCACATTTTTTTATTCTTGAAAATGTCTAATAATTTTTGGTAGAAATTTCCTTCTCCTTTTTTCTGCCTCTATATGTTGTAACTCCTGAATATTGAGCCTGTTTGCTTTTATCTACTTCTACAAGTTGAACCAAATTGTAAACTTTTTATATTATTTTCCTAAATAATTCCTGTGGTTTGACAACCAGGACAGAGTGGGAAGCATCACTCCCACCATCGCCATCACCCCTCCGTGGTCCCCACCCTCCTCTCCTCACCTCCATCTGCGCTGCATGCAGGTTTTTATCCTGTTATTGAATCTCACAGAGCTGCGGAAGTTTGATATTTTCAACCTTTTCGGACAGAACCTCGTTTGACTGAGTCATGGCTAACTCCGGGATCCAGCTGCTGGGCTTCTTCCTGTCTCTGGTGGGCATCGTGGGGCTGATCGTGGGGACCGTCCTGCCTCAGTGGAAGATGTCCGCCTACATCGGGGACAACATCATCACGGCCGTGGCCATGTACCAGGGGCTGTGGATGTCCTGCGCCTTCCAGAGCACCGGACAGCTGCAGTGCAAAATATACGACTCCATCCTGCAGCTCGACAGTAAGACGAGCCGAAAACATGCGCGAAAGTTAAGAGTATAGCGACACTTAAACGCGGTTTTATTCAAGTATAAGTGGAGAAATTACTCCGTACTGAAATATAAGACCAAAATTAAAATAATTCTTATGAATAATCAGAGTTGGTATTACATTTAGTTGAGTAACTTTTAAAAAAATTTAGTTTCAGGAACATTTTTACTACGCTGTATTAATTTTTTTTTTTTAACTTTTACTTTAATAATTTTATTATGAAGTGTATCTTCTCTTATTTGAGTAAAATTTCTGGATTTTCTACCCACTGAATGGAAAACACGTTTTAAACAAAAATCCACCAGACAGACACACACCTGCAGTTTTTGTTAAAGTTTCATAAGATTTTTATTGAAAGACATTGATTTGAGAAAATGTTCTTTTGCCTGATTTTTTT